TTACATTCTGCATTCCGCACTCCGCATTTTTGGAACAGCTGCTGATGTGGCGTGTTTAAAATTCGTTTGACGTGACATTTGAAACGACATACATGTATTGCCCATAATAAAATTATTCTCAGAAATGGAATAAACATGAAACTGATAACAAAGCTTTTTTGTGTAGTATTGTTTGGCAGCATAATAAAATAACTTGTTTTGTATTCAGTCACAAATTTCCAGTTAAAATATTTTTCGTTAAGCAGAAATGCCCGGTCAGACTGTTTGACCAGACTAAGCTTTTTAACCTGTCAAAACCTCAAATTTACTGGACAATTGTCCGATGACTGACTGTTATTTGCAGGCTTGCCCATGTTTTTGTAACTCAATAGCAACATGGAACTTTTTTTTCATTTAAGACATGTTTTGTCTTGTAGATTTATATGTGAAACTGAGCATCATAATGGGATTGCAGAGCTACTGGAAATTCTCGGAAGGTAGGAGACGTTACTGATTTTGTTTACCATCCACAGGTCAGCCTCTTTTGTCTTTTTAGTTGCTTAACTCTTAGTGGACTTCTTAAAATTATGAATAAGAATGAAAACATTAAAAGGTGGCTTTTCCATTACTTCAAAATTGGTGCATGTTTGGAAATAGATATGTAGGGGTTTCATTAAAGGAGAAGGTCACTCCAAAAAGCTGACGTCTTTACCTATAGCAAGTAAACATTCAGCTTTTTCACTCACCAAAGTTTCAGCCTCTGAAGTGCCTGCTATCCTGAAGAAATTACTCTTGAAAGAAGCGACTTCAGAGGCCATCAATTTGAATTGTAGCTGGCAGCCAGGCCGTGTTTATTTGACATCATTCCGTCCGACCCCTGATTGTGTAGTTGTTTTAGAGGCACAACTCCTGAAAACCTTCAGTCAACTACCTTAATAACAGATGGAGAGATTTCAGATCATAAAGGAGATTAACTGCTTGATCAAATGTCTCGCAGAAGAAAAACTGCACTCGAAAGACAATGTCACAGAATAAAAGTCAGCACCAAGAGAGTTTTTGTTTACAGGTTACTTCTTGGAGGCTTGACAGATTGAGGATGAATGCAACCTGTTTTAATCCTTTTAACAAATAGATTCCATATTGCCGGGTGTCTGTTTAATAGTAATAGACCACAGATGATGTAAAAATGTGTTAAGGAAAAAACGGTGGCACAGTCCAGCCATTAGATGAGTGTGTCACTGAATGTCTTTATCATACTTTGACTTCTTCTGTGATCAATTTCTGAACAGAGCACAGCAACATGAAATCTACATACAATGTACATGTATCAGTGTTTATAATAAAGAAACCCAAAAATATCAATGGTATCATCTGTACATCTGTCCTCCAATAGATCATAAGTAAGAACCAATCAAAAGACTTATTATGTAATTTTGAATTGTGGTTATGGACCAAAGAAGGCAGTATCCTTGTGTAAATGTTGTTTACTCTCAAATCACCCGTCTGCTTGATGGCACATTGTAAAGCAAAAATTATTGTTAATCACCTTTGCCAATAGTGCAATTCAGTGAGTTAAATTCATGCAAATTATATGATTTTTCATATCTACCCAGTTGGC